GATCGGGGCCTTGCTTTGCCTCCTGCTCGGGGTCCGAGGGATGTTTCGGGAGGAGCCCAGGAGGAGCGAAAGCGTGCGTCGGACCAAGCTCTCAGTGAGCCGCCTAGTCAGAGCACCCGCAACGTCAGACAGCGTGCTGAGTTTAACCCAGGTGTATGCACTGCGACGGTTGACGCCAGCGAGCTAGCCGAAGCGGCCAGCAGAGTTTTCGTGCCTTCGGATGCGGCTGCGGACCGTGGGGTGGCTTCGAGGATGGTCGACCCTGTCATTCCTATGCGAGAAGGCCCTGCCTTTGTTCCTGATAACAAGCGACGGCGCAAAGGGCTCGGTCGCAATGATAGGCCTAAGAAGGCTGATTTCACGGTCCCAGCGGCCATGGTGCCGCGTGTTGGCATTGTTCCCGCCACGGCCGTTCGCGGCCACAGGCTTTGGGCTGCGCCATGCCATTGCGTCCTATGCGTGTCGTGCGGATTTTTGTTCGACGGGGACGGCATGTCACCTACTTGTCAACGGTGCTGCTGATGAATCCCACCTCTCTGAACGCGTTGCCCGTAACAGACGTTTGTTTTTGGTTGGGAAGCATCCCGCCGACGACGGCCGTGACGGTTCCAGGACTTTTGCGGCCCCTCGTCCGCTGGAAGCGAAAGTCCCCGAGGTCCACTGGCTGCGGCTCCTTGTGGGGCCGCAGTAACTACAAGCAGCCTGCATTCAAATTCCTCACAGTGCGAGGCTGCTTTTTTTCCATAATCTACATAACATGTTTGTGCTCCGCACCCGCGCCGGGATCCCTTGGGTGGGCCTGGGTGCGCCAGGAGCATTTGAGGGAGGCGCCCTTTGCCTACCTCCTCTTAGTGTGCCCGCCTGTACTGACAGACGCGGCGGCGCCACGCAGCGTCTCATCCTCCTACCACTGCCTCCTCATCCTCCTGCCTCCTCCTCCTCCTCCTCATCATCATCCTCCTCCTCCTCCTCCGTCCTGGAGGAAGGGTCAAGGTTTCCGGGGGTCACGCATTGAGAAAAACGAAGCATCGTCGGCGACTTGGATCCATCACGCGATGCGAGTCTGAGGAGGAGTAGGGGAAGGAGGATGTAGAGGAGGAAGAGGAGGGGGATTCGGTGTGGAGGGAGGGACTCCGTATCGCGTGACGGAATCCCTCTGCTTACATCGGCTCTCTGGGAAGACCGGACAGGCTCAAGAGCGCAGAGAAGGACCGCCGCCCCGCAGCGCCAGCACCAACTTCGAGAGCGGCCCAAAAGGGGGTGATGACCAGGGGGTGGTAAATCTCATGGCGTAGGCCGCGATATTTCCTCAGATTTCACGGCGTCTCTTCTTCTTTCATCACGTCCCTGCCCCCCCCCCTTGGGCCGTGCACGTACCGTTGGCCATGATTTGTGCCCCCCCCCTCTTGGCCGCCCCCCCCCTTGGCCGCCCCCGACAGCCGGCGGGCCCCACCGCGCCAGGCTCCTCCGCCGAGAGGGCCCTCTGCCGGGGACCCAGGAGGAGCCAGGCGTGGCGGCGTCGGACCGGCGAAGCTCTCGTCGAGCTCGAGACCCAGACTGAGGTCGGGCATGTCCCCCTACAGGAGGGATGTTCAAAAATAGTCCAAAAGAAAAAGTCAGGGGACGATGTTTGGACCATGTTTGATAATGTTTCAAGACTGTTTGACTATTCTTCATTTTTCGCCCCAAGTCGGCCCGTAGGGGGACATGCCCGACCTACACCCAGACCCCCGACGTCATGATGTTTTTTCACAACGTCGACCCCCAGAGATTCGGCCCGTTCCTGGGGACTGGCTTCTCATCCTGAGTCGTTTTTTGACGGCCCCGTTGCCAGGCTAGGGGGGAGGACATAGAGGGTTCGATGATCGGCGATGTTTCTCGGTTTTGAGGATTCTCATCGCCACGGCTGGACGCGGCTCGACGAGCGGTTCGACGAAGTTGCCCGCAATGACACCGGGTGGGTTTCAGGGACACATTGTGAGCAGATTCAAAAAATGCGTGGACATATTTCGCTGCGCCGAGTGACAAGGGTCCGAGTGACGGGCAGGAAGAGGAGAGTGAGGAGGAACGGTAGGAGGAGGGGGATGGCGGAGGGCTCTCGCCCCCCCAAGATCCAGGCCGTTAACTTGCACTGCTTCTAGCATCGGGGGAACGTAAGACTCGAGTAAGCTGGAACTCGGGTTGCCGCCGTTATTGACGAGCGTGTCTTGGATTTTGACGGTCCCGTTTTCGTGGGATGCTTGTAGCGGGAGTTCGCATCAAATTTCAGATTTGGTCTCATCATTTTTAACATGGCCCCGTCAGGCCAACCCGAGTCCCCCGTACTTGAGTCGTATGTCTCCCCGATACTACCACGATGAGCCGACCTCAACCGTGCTGGTCTTTCGCCGACGGCTTGCTGCACTTACCCGTGCACGGCCTGCTCGAGGCCGTGCCCTTGTTGACACTACAAGCGCGCGCGTGCGCCTCCCAGACTGCGCAAGAAAGAGGACGGCGACGAAGACGAAGACGCGGACGAAAAGGAGGAGGAGGGGAAATAGAGAGTTTACCCATACAAGTTCGGGCCCATTGCCAACACAGGCTTGCCTTCGCGGAGCCTGCGCGGTTGAATAGGGCTCGGTGCTGGCAGAAATAGGCGGCCCAGGGCGTCTTCACTGCCATCGGATTGCCATAGGTCACGCCCATTGGTTGTGCCATAGGTTACACACGAGGGTCCACTACAGTTTTTGTGGCCGTGGGTTGCAGCCGCATGTTGCGCCATGGGCTGCATGCGAGGGCCCCAGAACAATGTGTGGCCATAGCCTTGGGCTGCGCCAAATGTAGCACCCATGGGTTGCGCCATGGGCTGCGCAATGGCGCCCCAGGGTTTTTTGCTTCTGCGCCATGGGCTGCGCCACACGATGCTTTACGCGAATTTGCAAAACGTTGGATTGCATTCGCGTTGCATGCATCGCGTTGCGTTGCTTTGCATTGTCGTGAATCGTCTTGATACGCATTGCCGCGCAGCGTGTTGCATTGCAGGGCGCTGCTCTATGGTGCCTTCCGATGTTTAATACGCTGATCTGAATCGCGTTCGTTTTTCCTTTATATGCGTTATTTGGCGGCGTGGTTTAAGTTGTGTGCTTGGTTATTGTGTTCCCCCGCCTTGCAGTGCTCTGCACGGCATTGCGTTCCCCAGCACTTGCATTGCATAGGTTAGCATTGCGGGTGCATTTGGGTGCCGCCCATCCAGTTTCTCCTGCGGGACAACACAGTCAAGACGTTGAAATGAGGACCGCTGTGGGTCCTGCATGGGCTCGGTGTTCCTTGGGTCATTCGACGATTGCCCCTTGCGCACCCAGGCACTCCTGGCGCCGAAGTCGGACTTCGTTCCTTATGTAGCGTTTCCTGTTGCAGCAGCCTGACTGCAGCTCATTGCTTGGGGTCAACCGTGGAAACGTACGGGCAACTCCAGCCTCGCCCTCGAAGGTCGATGGAGTTGCCAGATCCTCTTCGGCGGATGGCCAGCGGAAGCATGCGGCATTAAGCATATTGCCCCCACAAGAGCTGCAATGTGGGGGGGTCAGGGTTGTTAGAACGGGTCAGACTGAGGCGTTCCAGAAAGGACCTCGCTTTCGAGGGTCGAAAGATTTGTCATCCCTTCTTCAGCGGAAGGCGGCTGAATTAAAACGGGGGCGGCTTCGCTGGCAGAAGCTCGCGGAAAGCCCCCGGCGAAAGCAAAAAAGGCGTTTTTCAAAAGATCGCAAGATGTTGGGTTCAGGTTACCGGACTTCGCCATAGAGTAGCATGCTTGCTACAAGCTGCGAGTGCACCGCGAACGTAGTTTGCGGGATTACCGGTGGGGCTATATGCGTGTGCTAGTGAACAGCGCGCCATGGCGGGGGATCATGATTCAGCTCGGAATACTTCCCGGCGCCGTACCATTTTCATTGGACATCGATTGTTGTGGGCGACCACGAAGAAGGTGCATCGTGGTGTTTTTAGGAAAGTGTTGAAACAAGTGTACCGCTTGCATGCGGCCACATATTTAGATGTCGCCCCCGCCCATATCGGACACGCAAAGTTGCACGGTGTGCAGAATGGGGATGGAAAGTGCATGAAAGTGTTGAGGCGTGCGGGCACGTAGGACATTCTACATGGTCTGAACTGCACAAGGCGTGCAGAGCGCAGCCTACCGAATAATACACTCACATGCGCATACGGACATCCAAACCATATAACCACATACGCATACACAGGAACGTGACAGCATACATGCAGATTGAACAACTTATGTGAGCGTATAATCGTCAACTTCAGCTGCCTGGGCAAGCCCCGCCGCCGTGCCCGCGCAGCACTCATAGTGGCGACGCTTCGAGCGCTGCCCAGACGGCCGTAACATGTGATACCACTTGCCTCTATTATTTGAGCGGTTCTTGTGGATGTTACTTGGGCCGCCTTGGGCCTAATTGTCCTCATGTGGGGCCCTTCTGGGTCGTCTTGGGGTCCCCTCGGTCCGTCTAGGTGCCACTGTCTTGGGGGCCTCTCGGTGCCTTTCCAGGGCGTCTTGGAGCGTGGGGTGTCCCAGAACCCTCAGGGCCGTCTGATGTCCCGGGCTGTTTGGGGGGGGTCTCTTGGAGTCTTTTGGAGGCTGTGGGTGGTGTCCTTCGAGGGTCGACATGGACGCTCGTGAGAGCCTTGGGACGCCTCGGGCCGCCAGGGGAACCTCGGGAGGGGCGGGGGTGATGCACGCAGCTGAGCGTAAGGAGAGGGAGGGTGGCAAGAATCTGCACAGAAACCCTAACACGTAGCATTCAGCGCTCTACCATTCGGCGCTCTACCCCTTGCACGCTGAGGCGTGGCACGCCTCAGCGTGCAAGGGTGCACGGTGGCACATGTCACTGGTGGGTGGCGGGATGGCGTAAACCACGCATGGGTGCAAGCCACCATGTTCATTGGTTGTGCCCCCCCACTGCCAAGATGAAGTATTCAGATAACGCGTTTTCGACCAGAAATTAGAGGACAGCGAAGTGGCGGACGGGGACCTGTCTCTGTTCGACACGGCGCTCGCAGACAAGGCGAACCTCGAGGCCAAAACGTATGAGCTCGAGCAGATGGTGGACGAGTCGCAGGTGGTGATTGGCGATATGTCGCAAAAGCTGACTTCTGCCGAGAAACAGGCGCAGCTCCTCGAGAAGGCCCAGACCCGCGCCAACAAGCTGTCGCAGGGGCTTCGGAAGATCATGGAGAAGTCGGGCGCGAACACCCGTGGCGGGTTCCTGGGCGCTCTCTTCGGCAGAAGCGAGGACACGAGGGCAGACACGGCACGAACGAAGGAGGAGCCGGAGGAGCAGGGGGATGTTCTGAGATTGAAGGCCGAGGTTTTCGGAACGTTTGAGTATCTTTCCTTCCAGAGACCCCGAAAAGGCTCCCGACGGGACTTCGGGGAGAGGGGCAAGGAGGCACAAGATTCTTGGGCTCCCCACAACTCATTCGTCGTTTGACGACCCAGGGGGCCAGGAGAGGCCCGTTGGGGGCCGAAAGTGACCAGCCATAATCCCGTCGTTATTTTTCGCGGCGAAGGGAGGTATTGCGTCAACTCAGCCCCTGCAGGATGAGATGATCCAGGACACTTTGGATCAAATCGACGACATGAAGGGCAGGAAGCCATGAGCGCCTGGTCCAATATGGTACCTTTCGGGCCATTCCTTTTCACAACTCCAACACCCTCACCTCCAACATCTGGCATTGTTATGATTATTCGGTCTCCTCCTCCTTCTCATCCTTCTATTGTCATCCCTCCTATCCGTCCTCCTCCCCTCTTACCCCTCCTCCTCCTCCACCTCTTCCTCCACCTCCTCCATTCCCGCTCCTTGTAAATAGTCTTCCTTGTCGCATCCGGAGGCCGGTGGAAAGGGCGGGCTGGTCGTTCCGCTTGACTTTCCCTCACCATGTATGATCCTGACTGGGTAGTCGAAGGCCAGACTGTCAGATTGGATTGGGCCCCAAGGGCCAATCTGGCCCGGCCAAACTGGATGATTTGGGTTATTCGCCAGACTGGATTCGCGTTGGCACCCTCGCCAGATTGCCCCCGTTTGCCAGATTGGGCCTGCCAGATTGGCGCCAGATTGGCTTCGACTACCCAGCCTGAAGCGTAGACAGGGCATCAACTTCACGGACGGAGGGCGGCTGGTTTTGAAAGTGTGGTCTTCGCCTCAGCGCCGTGCACATTCGTTCTAGAAAATGTGCAAGAGTTTCACGGGTTGACGGCCGGTCGTTTTCACAATGCGACTCTCGCCTTAGCGCTACGGGCGCTCGTATTCAAAAATTGTACAGAGTTAAGAGCTTCACGGCTTGAGGGCGGGTGTTTTTTATGTGGCTCTCGCCCTAGCGACGCGAACATTCGTTTGAACAATTACAAGACATTCACAGGTTAGGGCGGTTCTTTTTCAAAATGTGGTTCTCGTTTTAGCGCCGCGCACAGTCGTGTTAAACATTTGCAAGAGTTTCATTGGTCTTCGTGGGTAGCGTACCAGAATTGGTGTTTGGGAACGATTCAGGATTGTCCGGGCACAGCAGTTACGCTGATTCGCGTAAGGTAGTCCCAGGAACGGTGTTTTGGCAAAATTCAGGGTCGCCAAGGCGCAATTGTCATTTTTATTCGCGGCGTTGAATTCCTGAGAATGGTGTTTGGGCGCGCTTAAGGATTTTAGCGCGCTTGTCTCCAAACGGGATCATCCCTTCAGTGGAAATGACCCCCGTTGGGGGCTTATGAAGAGGGAGCCTGGAGGGAGGGTGTATTCCAACATCGTTCATGAATCTTGGGTTTACACTGGTCCTCCTCTCCTTCTCCTCCTCCTCCTCCTCTGACCCTCGATTCGGTCTCTTCCATCCCCCTCGCACTCCCTCCACCGTCATGTGTTAGCCCTCCTCGCCCTCCCCCTCCCCCGTTCTGCTACCTCTCGCCGCAGCCCTCTTCCTCTGGCTACTGCCCTCGCGCCACTCGTTCTTCCATGTGTTCCGATCTCTCTGGCGGCAGGTGCTCTGCCTGGCGTCGCAGCTCGAAGCGCGGCGCTGAAAATAGTGACCATTGCCGTTGATGATTGTGCTGGTACTGCCGTTCCTCCATTTCTTCTCCTCGTAAATCGGTCTTTCTTGTCTCACCCCGAGGCCAGTCGAAAGGGCGGGCCGGTCGAAAGAGCGGTTCGGGCGTTTTGCCTTGTGTTTTCCGCATCACGTATGAGCTTGAATCTTTGAAACAGTGGCAACATGTTCACAGATGGAGAGCAGGTGGTTTTCAAAATGTCGCTCTCGCTTTCGCGCCGCGCGCATAAAAACTTGCAAGATCTTCACGGATTAAGGGCGAGCGGTTTTCAAATATGGTTTTCGCTTCAACGCTGCCAGCCCTCTTTTCAACTATTTGCAGGGAGCTTCACGGATTGAGGACGGATGCTTTTCGAAATTTGGTTCGCGCCCTCGTGCCGCGGACATGTGTTTTCAAAATCCGCAAGGTCTTCACGGATTGAGGTTAGCTCGTTTTCTAAATATGGTTCTCGCCGTAGTTCCGCGTACAGTCGTGTTCAACCTTTGTGCGATTTTCACGGGTTCCCACAGTCAACGTTCCAGACATTTTGTTTGGAATGATTTAGGATTGTCAGGGAGCGACGGTTAACGTGACTCTTGATGTTGCAGTCCCAGGAATGGTGTTCGGGCACGAGTCAGGATCGTCAAGGTGCAACATTCAGGCTGTTTCGCAAGGATTCGGCCAAAACCTTGATTCCAATGCACGACAACGGGGTCTCCGGCAACATGGAGGGCAGCCGACAAGGTGGGATAATGATATCCAGATGAATTGCAATGTTTCTATCCTATGTCGTGCAACGGGGACGCCAGGCGGAAGTTTCTGAAGGCAGCGGCCGAGAAATGACAATACGACCATGATGACGCAAGCGACTTGCGCCGGATCCCAGCCGTCAGAAGGTAACGAATTATAGCCAGCACGGGAGCCCGCGTATGTATCGAATGGTTGAATTCACGTCTCCGACTAGCGCCCATCGCTCCGGCTCCTTCTGTCGTCTTTCCGATTCCGATTCTCCCCATGACCCCGATTTCATTATCTCTCCGATTCGGGTTCCCATTCTTCCTACTTTGGTTTTCATTCGTTCGGTTTGGTGTTTTCATGTGTCCGATTCTTATGCTATTTTTGTTCAGCTCTGATTCTGACACCCGAGTCTATCTCTCCGATTTTGGCTCCCATGTTGCGACTCCCGTTCCCAGACCCGCGTGCAATCCACGAGCCAGCCGGCTTGTTGGTTAAGGCCGCATCCGAGTCCGTCTCTCCGATTATGGTTCCCATGTTGCGATCCCCGCTCCAGCACCAGCGCGCAATCCACGAGCCAGCCGGCTTGTTGGTTGAGGTTGAGGCCGCATCCGAGTCCGTCTCTCCGCATTTGGTGCTCATGTTGCGATCCCCGCTCCCGCACCAGCGCGCAATCCACGATCCCGCCCACTTGTTGGTGAAAGCCACATCTTTTTTGCTGCAGTGGGGGCCCATGCTAAGAAACACCCTGCTTGCCTCCAGTGCGCCCTGGGCTTCATTGAGCCATGGCAAGCGTGACGTTCCCACACCAAAAATCAGTGGACGCCCTGGGGTCTCAGGGTTTGGATTTCTTGTGGAGGGTTGCTCGCGGTCGGGCTCCCACCGCAAGGTTATGGCCTCCATGCCACGCTTTGACGGGCACGGGCGGGCTTCCTGGCGGAGCGCGCGCGGGTTTCCAGCGCTCGTCTCGTCTCGCCCCGCGTCGTCGCCCTCCTCCTTCTCCTCCTCCTCCTCCTCCTCCTGCTCCTCCTCCTCCTCCTCCACTCCTCCTCCTTATCCTCCTTGTTATGTCGCGCTCTCCTGTTCGAAGGAAAAGGAATAGGAGGAGAGGGGAGGAGGGAAAGGAGGGGGCGAGGAAGAGGAGGAGGAGGAAGAGGAGAAAGAGGAGGAAGAGGAGGGGGAGGAGGAGGAAGAGGAGGAGGAAGAAGAAGAAGAAGAGGGGGAGGAGGTGGAGGAGGAGGAGGAGGAGCAAGAAAGGAGGGGGCAGAGGAGGAGGAGGAGGAGGAGGAAGAGGAGGAGGAGGAGGAGGATCCCCTCATCGTCCTCCGCCTTGTCTCGGCCAGGCCAGCAGCGACCTGGCCGTAGGGTGCGCGGCTCAATTGCACGAGAATGTCTCCCAGCTGGCGGAGGACTACCACAAGGACGCGGCCCCCTCTCGACAGGGAAGGGACACCCACGACGAGGAGGACCCAGGTTTGGGGATGTTTCGGTTTCTTGTTCTGAGCTTATGATGCTCCAACCTACTTTCGCCTTGACCACCAGAAAGAATTTCGAGCGCCCACAAAAGTACCGAAACTCAAGGGTTTTCACGTATCGGGCCCTGGGAGACACTCGCCCGACATTATTTCGACACTGTTTCGACACTATTTTGACACGTTTCCGGGTGCTCGAAATTAGTTCCGGGATGTGGTCCTTAAGTAGGATGGGGACATAATTCTGAGCCTTGGGAAGAGTCGGCCGAACAGTTCAGCGGAGTTCAGCGGGTCTGATGGTTCGCGAAGCCCCATGGGTTCGCGCCGCGGCTTCATTGGTCGCATCGGACCGTCCCCGAGCCGAGCCAAAAAAAAGTGCTTTCTGATGGCGAGCCATCAAAGGGGCTGTTTGGTGATAGGGTGTGAACCTGACCACAGACAATTGAGCCTACCCCCGATCACCCTTTGGACTCAATGGCGACATGGGGAGAAAAGACCCGGCCACCTATCACGGGCGTATTGGGCACACTTGCGACGGAAAACGCAATCTCGGCGGAGTACGAGTTGTTGTCCCGCCCCTCTAGCTGTGTCGACTCTGACAGCCCCTCAGTTCAGCACGGCCCGAAGAGGTGGGTACTCCAGATTTCGTAATAAAGGGAGGGGGGTCTCATTTCGGGGAGGGGTCTCTTCCAGGCTATCTTGGGGGGCCTGGGGGGGTCTGGGGACGATGTTTTGGAGGGTTCTCCCCCGGGGGGGGGTCTGAAATGGCTCGTCTTGGAGGGTCCAGACCCCCTCCCTTTTATTACGACATCTGGAGTGGCCGTCAGGTGTGGGGGAGGGGGCTCCATGGCCCTCTCTCCCTCCCCGCCAGCCGTCCCGGGAGACCCAGGGAGGTCCAGGAGCTCCAAGGCGGGGTCGGATGGGTTCGAGTCCGACGGCAGGCTCGAGCCTTTCTCAGCGTCGACGGTGACATTACCTAGGACGCCCACATACGCTGCGAATTCGAGTACATCACGAACGAGCTTACATTTCTGAGTGTAGGCCTCTCTATTCCAGCTGGGGTGGGTATGATGCAAGGCCCTCTTTCTCGGCATCTTGGTCAGCTATGTTGTTGCCCACCCATCTCGCGCGACCGACTGATTCTCTCTCGGCCCGCGAAGCCTGAGCTTGAACGTCACAGACCTGCACGCTGTGGCTCAGTCCGACGAGCTCAGCGACGGCTTCCAAAAAACTTGCCCCCCACAGGTCCAGGTGCAGGGGGCTCTTCTTGTCGAGTCTGCTTGGGCTCTCGACGATGCTATCGATCACGTTCTGGCAGTCCGTGTAGATCCTGATCGGGGGAAACCCCGTGCTTCCTCACCTGCAGCACTACGAAGGGCTCCGCTCGCAGGATGTCCTGCATCCACTGGGGCCTTGGCTAGGGTCCGTAGCACAGGTACCCCATGTCGATGCTGTCGCCATGGAGC